CAGTTACATTCATCATTGGGATCTTGTACCTTTACACGATGTATCTTGGTTCTTATTTTTTCCCCATTCCTCTGTGCGCCCTTCACCCCCGCCACCCTTCCCTATTTACAAAGACTTTGTTTCCATTTTTTTCCTTTTCTTGTATCTTTTCTCTTCCCTTCTTTTCTTTCTCCTACACCTCCCACTTCCCTTACTCCTTTAGACCTTTTCTTCCTATTTCACATTATCAATTATACATTTTGATCCTTATTTACACTTTTATTTTCTCACGCCAGAAAAACTATTAGGTATTTACACATATGTGTCCTATTTATTTCACTTAATGTAGATTCTCTTTATCAAAGAAAGTTTCCTTCTATTTCTAGTTTACTAGTATTTGTTACTCATACATTAATATCAGATAAATTAAGTTAAACATTTACTCTTTATCTGAGATAGTTATGTTTCTTATGTGTTAATGTAATGAATTATATTAATTTATTTGCTAATACTGTATCAAGCTTATTGCCTGGGGCAAAACCAATTTTGTCATGATGTATCATCTTTATATTTGTTGTTTCTCTTGTTTAGTTTTTGTATTTGTGTTTACGAGTGAACATGTACAGTTTTCCTTTCCTTTATTTTTTTAAATTTTGGCATCAAAACCTTGCTGGAAGCAATCGGAGAATGTCTTTTCTTTCATATTCTCTGGAAGATTCTGTAAGATTAGAATGTTTGATAATCTGTTGAATGTTTGATAGAATATGCCTGTAAAGCTGTCTAATCCTGTTGTTTTCTTTGGAAACTTTTATAAAAACTTCTTTAATGGTTATAGGATTATATAGTTTCTCAATTTCTTCTTAAGGAGTTTTGCATTTTTCTAGGGCTTTTCCATTTTGTCTAAGTATTTAAACATTTTGGTATAGGGTTGTTCGTAATATCTACTTATTAGCTTTTTACTCCTGTTTTATTTGTACTTAAGTGTTCCCTTTGTTGTTCATGATGTGTATGCTGCCTTCTCATTTTTAAACAATCTTGTATAATATTTTTCACTTTTATTATTTTAAGGAACGAACTTTGGCTTTTTCAATCTTATCTACTATACATTCACTTTTCCTTCCTTCCTCCCTTCCTGTGGTCCTGGAAATTGAACCCAGGGCCTTTGCACTGAGCTACATCCCAAGTCCTTTTATTTTTAATTTTGAGACAGGATCCTACAGAGTCACCAAAACTGGGCTCAAGCTTGCGATCCATCTGCCTCAGCCTTCCAGAGTACTGGGATTACAGAGTACTATGCCCAGTTTATACATTCACTTTCTATTTTTTATTTTGTTTTGGTTTTTTGTGACAGAGTCTCACTATGCAGTTCAGGCTGACTTTGAACTCACTATGTAGCTCCAGGCTAGCCTCAAATTTGTGGCAATCCTCCTGCCTCAGCCTCCAGAGTGCTGGGATTATAGGCATGCGCCACCACACCCAACTTCACTTTCTATTTTATTCTTTTGAATTCTTAATTATTTTCCTCCTTATACCTTCTTTGGGCTTTTGTGAAATTCAGTGAATCTTGATTTGTATCCTAGAATATGACCAAATTTTGTAAATATTCTATGAGAGATTGAAAATATTAATTTTTTAATTTTTGGTTTAATGTTAATGTTTG